AAAAAATCAGATACCCAAATTTTCCCTGAGCTGTGGGCATGGTCGGGGGCCAAAGAGTGACAACGGGTGGTGTTGGCCACCCCTGGCCACCATATAGCTCCACCCCTGCCCGGTTGATCTGCAACACCTCAGCACTGCGCGGTAGAAAATAGATAGATGGAAATTTTTTGTTTGGTCTTTGACTTTGAACTGGCTGCCCAAATACCTCTGCAACTTTGTCAGCAACAATGAGCACTGGGGATCCTAACACTGCTGAGCACAGCTTATTTAAGACCCCCCAAACAACAGAGTCATATTGTGATTACTGTCATTAATCTTTTATTCAAAAAAAAAAAAAAGAAGGCTGTACATAGATTTTTCTCCTACACATAAAATCATACTCAAGTTGTTTCCTCAGAAGCTGGTAAGTGGAGCAGCAAATTTGACCTTCCAACTTTCTATTAACACAACTCGACCGCCAATGGGATGTCACATCAAATGCAGAAGAGTGCAGAAGAGTCACAGCAGGCTAATTAACCTTTAACTGATCCCACTTATCATAAAGTGCCTCTTGAGACATTTGTTGCCTGATTTACTGAAGGTTTGCATGTGCAAAAACAGGCGCCAACTTGATTGCTCAGGCAAACAGATGTGGAAGCTGATCAATAGTACTAACTGGGCTCAACCAGGATTGCATCTGCCCAACGCTCGAAACTGCAGCAGCATGTTGTGAGAGGAGTACTGTATTTGCAAATTGGTTAATTTGGGATGCAGAATGTGATTCTGAGACGAATTGTGCTGGTTGATTGTGAATTTACATAGCGGGTCTGAAAGGCAAGTGCAAACTAGCAGGCAAAATGGTGTCAGTGTAATACAAGCAAAATAAGAGACGGAACAACATTTTTTGGGGAAAGCGAGTAAAAATTATTGTGACGACTCATCGATTCAGCAATGCAATTTTGGAGCTTCTGCGTGAGCCAAGTGCCCACATGGAGCTCGTCACAAAAAGGAATCATGCACATAAATTCCATAGCCACACATTCAAGGTGAATGAAATCAAACTCAGCATGGCTTTTATGTGGTTGATGTCGGCTTCAGCCAAAATCGTCACACCGATTTATTTATTTTCTGAAACGCAGCAATATTTGTTTGCCTCTTCCACGAACACTTCCACTTCATTCCATGACTTCAAACTTTATTTTGCGCTTGCAGCGATCTTCTAATTGTTCCATGGTGAAAACCGTCAGTACAAAAACCCAATTTTTAAATGCGGAATACAAAAATAAAATGGCCTTATGGATACAAACGGCTCAGTGTTAGCAGAAGAACTCGCTCCTTGTCTGAAACGCTTATACTTTCCGCAAAAGGAAGCGGAAAACAAAGTGTTCCATCTCTAGTTTGTAGTTGCAACAATGAACACTTGCCCATCGTATCCACTGTTGAGTTTTGTGCCTAGCATGCAGATTTGCACCCGTTATTTGGGAGTTCAGTAAATCAGGTCCTGAAAGCAACTACAAGCGAGTTTCACCCCAGGACTGCAACGAACAAAAACACATGCAAGCAATATGAAAGCAATGTCTTGTTTTTCCTTATTACATTTAGCTTGTTAACGGCTAGCATGATTTACCTCATTGGATGATGAGATTATTATTTACCCGGAACCTGCTGAAATTGTGAGGTTAATCAAATCGGCCCCCTTGGCTCCCCAAATTCAAGTCACTGTCTGTGGCGATGAGTGTAAAGCAGCTAATTATGTGGAAATGATGGTTGGAGAGCTTCTTGAATGAGGATTGACGTCTTGATGGATGCGCGCGGGAATGCTAGTTAGCGCTCTGTGGGACGTTTTCTGAACTGATAAAGATGTATAGTGTGCCGCTGTTCAAGATATAGAGCCTTACGCTAATCCGCAGAATTATTTGATGGCATTGGCCGAACTGGCCATTCATTTATCCTTAAATACTCATACTGTACAGTAAATGTAGTTCACGGAAACCTTTAACGTTTACTCAGGATATGAGGGCTAGCTATCCTGTGCTATTCTAAGCGTTTTAATGTACTGTAAAAGATGGGCATACTCAAAAGCGACGGATGGTGTTCCACTTCTGAAATGTAGGTGTTGGTAGAGTGCCTTTCAAATTGTCAGATTTCTAAACTAATCAAGAAGGAGAGTGTGTGCCAATTTCTCTGCGCGCTGAGGGCTAATGTGCTGTCACATGCTTCTCTCAAAGGTGGAGCTAGCAAGATTTGAATGTAGCCTTTCACTTTTTTTTTTTTTTTTTTTGCTAACTGGATTTAAATAATCCGCCCAAGAAAACTATCAGCGTGATGGTGCCGGGTGCAGCAGACTGGGTGTGCATGTGTATACGTGGCAGTGACTGATGGACATGACCTTCTGCCACAACAATCTCTGATAGGCTATTTTTGCCCTTGTCTGACAAGTTTTCAAACAATAGTTACAAATAAAATTTGAATCATAAATTGGGCCACAGAACTGATTTTGAAAAAAAAAAAATGTTTTTTTGTTCCCAATGTTGTCAGCTGTTTGAGAGCATTTTGACTATCATTCGATATTTTAGTCTTCTGTGACAATATAAGCACCAAACCTTCCAAAACAAAGAGTAGACGTGTTTGTTTCTCGCTTTTTCCTTTCTTTAAAGCCGTAGAACATTTCACCAAAAACACCGCTGTCTGACCAAAAAGCTTCTGGTGAAAATAATGTCAAGCAGAACAGTGACTTTGAGGCTACTAGTTTTGTGTTTTTTTTCCGCATGTCTAATATGAAGCAAGACTGAGAAAAGTTTTTTGCAGCTGTACATTTTATGATTTTTTTTGACTATTCCTCCAAAATGTTAAAGAAATGCCACCACTCTCATAGACGGCAGAATGGGTTGGGTTCAGTTCCCACTAAGTGACAGAGTGAATAGTGATAGCAAATAGAAAAGTCTACGTGTGCCCTATGATTGACTGGTTATGAGTCTGAAGTGTCGTCTGCCTCAAGTCAACTGGAATAGGCTCATGACCCTGAACAGGACCGGCAGAATAGAAGATGGATGTGTTGATGCTGTGTGGCGCCGTGAAATATTCAGGTATGCTTGCAGGGTTTACCCTCCTGTCATTTTGTGATGTTGTCGAGCTACAGTGAGAGCTCTGCGTTTGCACTTTCCTTGAAAGAAATTCACCAGGTCGTTGTCAGACTGCTCGCCAGCTGCCAATCATCAACTGTGAACTGGGATCTGAACTCGCCCCTGCTTGGAAAGCGAACCAGACGAAGCGATCTTAAACCATCATATTTGCAAAGACGGTTCTGAGAATAATGCTACGAAATCAGCTTCTGCACGCATCTCTTCCCGGGGATTGTTTACAAGCTTGTACTTCCCGCAAGGAACTAATTAGTGACTTAAGTTTTAGGCAGACACCGTTCGATCAGTCTAAAGCTCGTTGGGATGGATGGATTAAAGGTCCCGTGCATTAATGCCCGTTTGGTTAAATAGATGCCGCTCTCACAATATTTGTACAGTCAAACTATTGCATGTTATTTTAAATATTGTCGCTCTAACAGACAAGTGCTTTGCAGAACTGACTGGACCTTGTAGAAGATAAGGCATGAATCGGGGCCCAACAGCCAATAAATTGTCTCAGGCGAAGCCAACCTTCATTTTTTTTTTTTTTTTGGTAGTAAAGCAGAGTGTTTAAATGGGACTATCTCGAGCTGTGGATTTTATTGTCTATTTTTAGTGAGGAGAGGCGCTGCTTGTACGCACGGTATGGAACTATCACCTGGAAAAGAACTGCGCCGACTGTACATGTTGACGCAACTTTCTTTTTTTTTTTTTTTTGGTAGTAAAGCAGAGTGTTTAAATGGGACTATCTCGAGCTGTGGATTTTATTGTCTATTTTTAGTGAGGAGAGGCGCTGCTTGTACGCACGGTATGGAACTATCACCTGGAAAAGAACTGCGCCGACTGTACATGTTGACGCCTGAGCCTCACTGAAGAGGACAAGCTTCATTATTCATGCACAGCAAATGAAAACTCTCTGCGGTTTGCCAGCAAGATAAATGGGCAGCGTATCAGCCTCAATTTATCATGCCGTTCCAGCCTGTGCATTTGTACCTGTGTATTCAAGTGTGCCCTGAATTAAGGATACTCCGTCGAGCGCTCAAGAGGCAAATAACTGATTACCTTTCTAGCCTCCCTCGGGACACTTTACCAAAGGAAACCCAAACAAAAACAAACAATGGAAGACGTTAAATGGAACTCCATCTTCATCTAGTCTACTTCCAGCCATCCGAGCCTTGGGCTTATTGTGCGTTCAGTAAGCGATGGGGGGAGTAGGGGGTGGGGGCAAAGAAAGGAACTCATTCTAGAGTTCAGTCCATCACAAGCCTGACTAAAAGAAATGAGTCCTTTGTTTGACTGTAATGGAGTGAGCCTGTTGGAGTTTCTCAGCATTACAGCCGCGTTGCCTGCACGGGCATCGTTGAAATAATCTGTTCTCTTTATGCTACATCGGTCACCTTAATGTGCACCTTCTGAGTTACTTTAGCGTTGAGGTGTAACCTCAAAGGAAATCACGCTATCATTCGCAATAAAAAATAATAAAAAATCCATGCACCTCAGTGTGACTGCAAGCCACACGAGCATCTATTAAAAATAGCAGCAGCAGCAGCGGCGGCAGCTTTGCATGACTGAGTCATGTTGCGGGTCATGCGTTTTTGTTCCTTCAGGGGAGTGAAACATTTGGTTCTCTGTTTGACATTTTTATTTATTTTTTTAACAAATTCCATTCATAGAAAGAAAGTAACCGTGTTTTACAGAGGGAAAATAGCTAATACTTCACCATTCAGGTTTTTAGATGCGAGCCATGTACCACAGTGACTGAATTAGCCGCATAATGAAGGGTTCGATGAATGTGCGTATGAACTGGTTGGGTTCAGTACCTCTGGTCTACTTGATCGTCTGTGCCCCTGTTTGTCTCCCCACAATGAGGTTTTTGTGTTGTGTTCTTCCCTGGTTCCGTAGGTGTCTGACGAATGGACGGACTCCCCGGAGCTGGGTCCTGTCACCTGCATGGAGCCCTTCTTGGTGCGGAGGCTATCGTGCCGCACGGTGCAGCTGCCCCCTCTGGCCTTCAGACAGGCCGAGCAGATGTACTTTGACCGCAAACCGGATGCCGACACGGTCAGCGTTCCTCCGCGGCCCAACACTCTGCCGCTTCGCACGCCGCCTCTCATTGCCATCACTTCCGCTGACACCAGCAGGTAGGAGGACGTGGAGGCTTTTTTTTCTTTTTCATGTCAAATTCGGCGAGAAATTCGGGAGTAAACAGGCTACAGTCATTTCACTCGGTTTGCAACTGATAAGGAGAATGGTAGATGGTCGTTGGATTAGTGCTTCATGTGCCTCCAGACTGGGGTTTCGAATTTATTGTTGAGTATGATTTGCTCAGGCGGCATGGTGGTCGACTGGTTAGCACGTCCTCCTCACAGTGCTGAGGTGCAGGGTTCGATTGCGGCTGCGGCCTTCCCGTGTGGGGTCAGCATGTTCTCCCCGTGCCTACGTGGGTTTTCTCCGGGTACTCCGGTTTCCTCCCGCATTCCAAAAACATGCATGGCAGGTTAATGGAGCACTCTAAACTGTCCCGAGGTGTGATTGTGAACGCAGATGGTTGTTCGTCTGTCTATGTGTGCCCTGCGATTGGCTGCCAACCAGGTCAGGGTGTACCTGTTGACAGCTGGGAGAGGCTCCAGCACGCCCGCGACCCTCGCGAGGATAAAGTGGCTCGGATAATGGATGGATGGATGGATTTGCTCATTCATGCTGGATATGGAGCGATCTCATAACTTGCAAATCTCTTGAAAATTACTAACTGCTTGCCAGTATGAGTCATCACGCTTATTGGAGGAATCTGTCACTTGTCTAAAAACATGCCTTCAACCCGCTGATAAACAGCCTTTTGCCAAATGGAATGTAAAACAAATTTTCATCTTTCATATTTGGCAGTGCATACAGAATATCGCTGGACTTTTTTCACACTACACAGAAAAGATAATTACAGTGGAGGCCCCAAGGTTGAACGTTATGAGCCTAGAATGGTCTCCTGCCAATTGTAGAGCATGTGGCCACAACAGCCATTCAAGCTCACATTCACACCCAAGGACCATTTAGTTTTTTCAACGAACCTAAAATTCTAAAAGAAAAAAAAAAGTACAACTATGCTTTCCTCAATAATGTGACCGTAACATTTATTGAGTTCAGGCTCCACTCAAACTGTCACCATCACCAAAACTTCACCCACTGTGCAGGTCACTTAAAGTAGCCAATACTCAAAGGTAAAACTGGGTCATGGCTCCACAATAGAAATGCTTTTTTTCCAAGGCTCAACCTGTAGCCAAACCTCTACAAACTGTACAGGCATTGCTTCAACTCACAAACTGAAAGTAAAATACACAAAACTACTCAACTTTTACTCTAATAGACACTTAAAGGAACAGGAACCAAAAAAAAAAGTGTTTGCCGAGCAATACTGTCATCTTGTGGCATTTTAAAGTAGATACAGATGAAGCCAGATTCTTTGGCTATCGCCATTCCGGTTTTATGGTTGTCATCACACTTATCCACTTGTACATTTCAAGCATATTTTTCCCAGAAAATATTGGTTCAACTTCCGGGATGGTCAATTTTAGTGGTCCCAATGTGCAAACCAACAAACAAATATTAAGCAATACTTTTCTGAGAGTGCTCAGTCGGTCTCTAGAGAGAAAATCTGCCAGCGTGTGTTTGGCCTCTGTGATTCAAAACCTTTCGTACAGCGGTTCCGTATCAAAACATGGCGTTCCCGTTTTGTAGCAAGCCCAAGTCATAGCAGCGGCAGTTCAAATGGATTAATTCCACGGTCAAATGCATCTGCCAGCGGAAGTCCGTCAAGAAGATCGACTTGGCTTTGATCCTTGGTTTCAACGGTCGATACAGATGATTGCACGTCGGTCACGTGATCAGAATTCACACCCCTCTCAAACATCTGTCAGTGTTCCAAATAAGAAATGGAAAACCACTTTTTTCCTGCCTCGCCCTCATGTTGTTTTTCCTCCTTGCTAAGAAATGCCGGTACCTGCGGTGTGAGCGGATAAACAACAAGGACACAAGCGGCCGCTCACCAATGAGTCTCGCTTGCTACGGGGGCTTTCATTAGAGAGACTGGATAATAAAGCGCTGCTAATGGAATTCAAAGGCAAAGAGGGGTGATTGATATGTAGAAGTAACAAAAACACGATGTCGAAAGTGTGTGGGTTACACGACCGGGCAACTTTGAAACAGAACACACAAATGATTTACTGTTCCTTTATAATAGGCTTTTGTCTGCTTTTCCAACAACAATGCGTCAGGAACTCAAAAAAAAAAATTCTACTTGTAGTTTCGACTGAATCATTCTGTCATCAGCCGGTGCGGAAACGACGCAGAAGAGGACGACTATTGACAAGTGTGTTATGTATCACTTTCACCAAGTTGGACGATGAGGAGGTGACTCTGATGATATAGTTAAGTCAGAATAGAACGGGATGAATTGATTATCAATCGCTGCCTTGTTTCCTTGTCTCCTTGGGAGGAAACGTCCAATTTTACAACAATTTGCTCATCTGTTATGTTATAATTGTGTTCATAATGGTACTCAACAGAAGCCACACGTATTCTTTGAATCTAATGAAGTCGTGCAGAAAGGGTAAGGACTGTTGGGAGTGAAATGAACAAACTTCCCCACGAAGAGAACCTGCGGTTGAATTTTTGCCTTTTTGGGTACAGCCGAGGGATGGATGGACGGATAAATTGATTTGCTGGTGCATGGATGGATTGATCTGGATAACTACAGTAGATGGATAGCTGTTGGGTAGAATGAATAAATGGAACAATGGCTGGATGTATGGCTAGGTGCTTGGAACTAGATTAGTCTTTCCGAAATGAAATCATAGAAATAGAATACAGGTCATGGAATATGTATGAATGTGTCTCCATGTATCAACTTGCAATGGCTAAGTGAAATTTGGCTACCGTTCAAGTGTAGAAACAAGTTAACCCCTTGCTGCTTCACTACAACACTCGGCTGATTGTCGCCATATTGTTCTGAGAAGTCCCGTCAGCTTCAACTCACCGTTATCCAGATATTTTTTATATGTTATGTTTTATAGTTTATATTCATTTTTCCACATTGCCACCATTGTTATTCTCTCATTTAATGCCAATATTTTTAATTTAGTTTGTTGTAAATATTCCTTATACGTTTGCTAAAATGAAGTGAGATTTTCTGAGTTCTTGGATGACATCATAAACAGCCACGGTTTGAACTGCAGAATCTTGGTGCAACCTTAGAGCCGCAAGCAGGCATTCTCCGGTTGTCTTCGAAGACATTTCGTCTCTCCTCTGAACAGGCTTCATCTGTTCATGCTCGTAAACTCGATAGGACAGTTCAAGCCTTGGCGTTGGTATGGAAACCCAACAAACAATCGCATTAATTCGAGGCACGCCCCAAACCATAACTGGTGTCACTGTCTTAGGATTCCAAAATGACAGTTATGCATTGAAGAGAGGACACCAAATGCCTGTTGTTTGGCAGGCAAAGCGAAACGTCTTTTGAGACAACTAGAGCGGTCCGGTTGTGACCCAATACCCTGAGGATGAAATGACCTGACGGAATGATAATAATTCACAAGCAACTTTATTTATTTATTTATTGCATTAGTACTGTATCCCCCCGCCCCCCCCGAAGATATCATAAATCTGTAATCCAGTGTAAGTACAGCACACTGCTCAATGACACAACTGTGTATGTGTGTGTGTGTGAACAAGATTCTAAGTTGATAGTAAAAACGTTTATCACGGTCACCACCAATGAATAACTTAAAAAGTGAGCCAGAAGGCAAAAAGTATGGCCTTAATGTGTGCAACCACTGTTTGACTGCAGAACAGCATTGATCTAAGGGAACAAAAGTTTCTGAAAAGAACAAATATGTGAATTCGGTATAGGAGTTCGTGTGACAGCCCTCGAGCGCTCTCATATATTTTGAATCAAATGCATGAATACAAAATGGGAAAGTGAGAGAACGGGTGATGCAGAGAATGTTAACAAAGGCTATGCATCTTTGCCTCGCTTCCGGCTCGATTCATTTATAATTCACTACACAGTGTGGCGATCTATACAAAGGGGACACGCGTTGATACGCTCAACTTTGACTTTTGGGTGTACGTGCTCGTCGGACATTCTTTTTTGCGGCGTTAACACAAAAGCAAAGACGTACCGGCAGTCAAGATTGCTACTGTATATTTAATCATGATTAAAAGCCTTCGCAAAGTACACACGTTAGCTTGCGCACGCAAGTGTTTACCCGTGAGCTAGCTAGTTTCTGCTAAACAACGTGGCGGTGATAACGGTGTGTTGATGCAGTTATCAATTTGTTTTTCAGCAACATTCCAGAGAAGCTTCTGAGAGCACCAAAACTCAAAGCGCCAGATGTTCATGCGACGCTGCGAACACGTTGATGCTGATTGTTTTGAGCAGTCTGGGTGGTAATTAGAACCGTTAAATCAGCATGCTTGCTGGCTAATTGTAATCAATGTGTACGTTTGAAGATAAACACAGACAGGGTTTGCTATGGCGTGGGAGCCACCTCAGATGGATGAGGTCGTCAACGCCCATCCTCATCTTTACCGTCATTATATTGGATTGCGGCGGTAATGACCTCATTTCCATGAAACTTTTGAGAGAGGAGGAGCATGGCCCCAAGAATAATGCATTCTCTTTATTTGCTGTTGTGGATGAAGGTGCGGTTTGAGGTATGTCAAGTATTTATGTATTCATTTATATGCATGTAATTTGTGCTGCGGCAGTCCGCTAGCGTTCGGGCTAAGTTGGGCCATGATCCAACAGGTGTTTGGCAGCTGGCTCTCATAGCCCCACAAAATTGCCCTAAAGCATGATGCTAACGCCGCCATATATTTTCTTTTTTGGGGTGATGGTTAGAGCTGTTTGCACAAAACATACAGTGTGTTTCGGAAATTATGGGAAGCAATTTTGACTTTGGTTTCAAAAACAAAACAACAAAAAAAAAATGTCATAATGTGCATGACTGCCACCTACAGGACTGGAGGTGTTTATTTATTTTAGCTTTTTTTTTTCTAGGCAGAGGTCATCAAATTCCGAACTGAAAAAAAAATAATCATGATCAATATTTTATCAAAAGAGCAACGCAGAATCCGAAATGGAAGTACTGTATGCAAAGGTTTTCCTGATTTACTAATAATTTGTCCATCTGTGGTTTTGTTTGAAGCGTATGCCAGGACACTGTCCTGCCACGACCTTGTTTAAACTTGGCCACTGACTTCAATGTAATGAAATGTGCATGCAGTGTGCCGGGTCGCACCAGCGCGTACACAAATGTCACACAAAGGCCATGCTGCTACTGCTTCTTATGCTGAGCGCGGTGCACCATCACACTTATCTGCCGCCATTGTTTTCTGTTACTTTGTTTGTGAAGAAGATTACACTTCTGCTGGTAAATTGCATTGCCCGTGGTGTTCGTTTCAAGAGGATTGGGCGTGGACCTGAAGACGTATGCGGAGGATAAACACGCACACCCTCACACAAACGCACCCACACAATCTTCAGATTTGATGTTAAGAACGAACACTCTTTGGTCTGGAAATGCTGCTCAACCCAACAACAGGAGCTTTTAATAAACGGGATGGACTTTCTTTGGACTGTGATGTCATCGCAGGCACAAGTGCGGATTAATATCGCGTTCCGCGACTGGCTGGCTGATGATGACCAGTTGCGGGTGTGCCCAGCCTCTCGCCTGTTGGGATATTTTCCAGATCACCCCGCTGAGCTGTGAATGTTTTCTAAAATGGATGGATGGGTTGTAACAACTGTGGAGCCGCAGTGGAATCTCAATTCGCCAACACCCCTTTTCAAAGGGCGCCATCATAATCTTAATGTTTATTCAAGATAATTCATCAATGTTATCTTCTGAAAAGTCTTTTTGTTACGAAGAAAATCATGACCGTATCCTAGTATAAGCCTTTACCCACAACAATCATTCAGTGTGGGCGGGGTTTGTTACGTTAACACATCTGAATCCGACACAGTAATTCGATGTGTCGTTCCATTTGTCGAGACGGTTGTCGTCATTGTTTTTGTTTGTAGATTTGTGGTTGGTGTAGAACAACTACCTGGCGCAAATCGGTTTAAGGTTTCTGTTTTTTTTTCAGACAACTGTCTTTTTTTTTTTCTTGAAGGGAAAAAACTCTTACGCGTCACAAGGAAGCAGTGACAGCTCCAACGAAGGCTGAAGTGACAGCCGAAACTGTCAGCTAGGTAAGAGTTTTTCTCTTCAATTAAAAAACAAACAAACAAAACAAAACAAAACAAAAACATTGTCTGGAGAAAAAAGAAACCTTGAACCTATTTCAACTGTTCAGAAGACAAGATGAACGTCATAGCACTATCTGGCGCTTTTCTAAAATGAAAGACATTTTGAGATGTTACAGACTGCATTGTCAATAAAGACTTTTGTTTAAAACAAAAACCTAAATACGATCTCTACCCCTAAATGCAAATTGAAGTCAAATTGTAGATTTTTTTTTTGAGCGAGGAATAAAGTTGTACTCTTTTGAGAATTAAGTATTTGTTTTGAAGAAAAATACAGATAGTCGCAATCTTACAAGAAGAAAGTCACAGTTTTACAAGAAAAAGTTATATGATGATTTTAAAGTAAAAATTTCATGAGGGAAGAAAGTCATATTTTAAACAGTGAATTTCCTAATTATAACTGTACTCTCATAATATTGTCTTTTATTCTTGAAAAAGTGCTTTTTTTTCCCTCTCCAAAAAAACAATGCTGTGCGCACAAGCATTGTTTTGTTCTTGAAAATAATAATTCCTGTGATATAATATTCCTATTTTTACTAAAACAACAACAACTTTATTCATGTTTAGATGTCAGATTTATGTGATTGGTGAAGTCGGAAAAGTCACTTAATTGCCAATCCTAAGAACCCATCCACACGAGAACAAGTTGAAGGGTGCTGTATCTGGAATTTTTTTTCCGTCCACAGGGAATCGCTGTTTTGAGAGCCTGAATATGATCAAATTTGCAACCAGGTCCAAGGGTAAATGAATTTGAAAACGCCGACCTTGCGTTTCCGTGCGTACAGCACATGCGCATCTTTGCTGAGACGATGAAGCGGTTGTACCAGTTCTCATGTGACCTTGCGCTAACACCATCAGCACCAACAGTAACAACAACAGTAGTGGTGGATGACAGTGTGGGATGTTCTTTACCTTGGAGGTGATCCGCACTTTCGACTCAAAGCAGAAATTTAAAATTCATCGTCAAATCCCTCTTTAGTTTTGATCTACTGACTTTGTGTCCACTTATATTTATACATTATGTGAATGAGCTACAGTAATTTGTTAATTTGTGTCCCATTTGAGCTGCTCTTCACAGTCTCAAGATCCAATTTTTTTGTTCTTGTTGTTTTTTTAATTATTTTTTATTT